CCCCCCCATATCTTCCCCGGCCAGCTCCCTGCCCCCAACCTCACACCCCCCGGCAGCCCTGCTTCCACCAGCCCCCCAATCTCCCCAGCCTGCCCTGATTCCCCTGTCCAGTTCTGCTTCCGGTGGCCAGCTCTCCCCTCCTCGTCACCCCAGAATCCCCTGGCACCTGCACCTTTCCTTAGCCCTCCACCCTCCTGGTGTCTCCCTTTGCCCACTTTTTCCCTAATACCCGCCCCCTCACCAGTCTCTGCCCCATTCCCCTCCTGCCCCTCTGTGCCCTCACACACGATTTTCTCCATCCTGACCTTCCTCATGGCCACCCCTTCTTTCAAGCCTTCTCCCCCTCCAGCCCCCAGTGCCCTTCCCCTCTCCTCTCCCAGCATCAACCTGTCCCCCCTCCCACTGACACCTCCCCTCCTGTCCTTTCCCTCATGGTCTGCAGTTGGCCCCCCCTGGCATTTGTCTCTCTCCTGCACCCCTGTCCCTTGGTTCCTTCCCCTTCCCCGCTCAAGTCCCTCCTTCTTTCTCCCGCCCCCAGCCTCTCCTCGCCTCTGCTGCCGCGTGAGCCGGTTCCCTACCTTCTCCTTCCACGTTGCGGGGCCGGAGGCCGCACTCAGGCCCCGGAGGCCGAACCCGGAGCCAGCCAGGCCCCACAACGTGCCTCCCGCGGGTTTCAAAACCCCGGGCCGTCATGTCACGTCACGCCCGGGCGGGTGCGGAGGGGAGGGGAATGCTCTGGGGGCAGGATGGGAGGACGCGCGGAGAGGCCGGCGGGGAGGGGGATCCGGGGCACGCTCCAGGCAGAGCCAGAGAGAGACCCAGCTCCATGTAGTGGTGGAGCAGGGCCCCGGCTCTTAACTCGCTGGCACTTCTGGGTGCAAGGGCGCAGGGCCCAATTCGACCGAATGGGTCGAATCGGCCTAAGGGCCGGCAGCCACCAGGCACGCTGAGGCCCGGCATTTTTTTGGGAAATGCTGGCATAGAGAGTACGCTTATTAAGTTTGCAGATGATACCAATCTGGGAGGGGTTGCGACTGCTTTGGAGGACAGGGTCATAATTCAAAACGATCTGGACAAATTGGAGAAATAGTCTGAGGTAAACAGGATGAAGTTTAATAAGGACAAATGCAAAGTGCTCTACTTAGGAAGGAACAATCAGTTTCACACATACAGAATGGGAAGCGACTGTCTACGAAGGAGTATGGCAAAAAAGGATCTAGGGGTTATAGTGGACCACAAGCTAAATATGAGTCAACAGTGTGACGCTGTTGCAAAAAAAGCAAACATGATTCTAGGATGCATTAACAGGTGTATTGTAAGCAAGACATGAGAAGTCATTCTTCCGCTCTACTCTGTGCTGGTTAGGCCTCAGTTGGAGTATTGTGTCCAGTTCTGGGCACCACATTTCAAGAAAGATGTGCAGAAATTGGAGAAGGTCCAGGGAAGAGCAACAAAAATGATTAAAGGTCTAGAGAACATGACCGATGAAGGAAGACTGAAAGAACTGGCCTTGTTTAGTTTGGAAAAGAGACGATTGAGAGGAGACATGATAGAGGTATCTAAAAGGGTGTCACAAGAAGATGGGAGAAAAAAAATTCTTCCTGGCCCCTGAGGATAGAACAAGAAGCAATGGTCTTAAACTGAAGCAAGGGAGGTTTAGGTTGGACATTAGGAAAAAATTCCTAACTGTCAGGGTGGTTAAAAATTGGAATAAATTGCCTGGAGAGGTTGTGGAATCTCCATCTCTGGAGATGTTTAAGAGTAGGTTAGATAAATATCTATCAGGGATGGTCTAGACAGTATTGGGTCCTGCCATGAGGGCAGGGGACTGGACTTGATGACCTCTCAAGGTCCCTTCCAGTCATGGTATTCTGAGATTCTATGATGTGTGCAGTGTTCTGAAAGTTTTGTGATTCAGAGGAAATATATAAATATGATCTATAACTATTAGCCTGCGAGCTCCTGCCTGCCTTTCCCTCCCCCCCTCACGCTGCTGCCTCTGTATCAGAAGCAGCAGGGACAGGAGGCGGCTCCGTGGGAGCTGATACGCGTGGGGAGCCGACTTAGATTTATCCAGCTGAATTTTTGAGGGATTAAAAATCTGTCTCTGTTGTCTTCTATTCTGATATTACAGCATCAGAAACCAATAGCAGGTCTCCCTTTTTGCCTCTGTACCAAAATGATTCAAATAGCTAGCTACAAATTAGAAAACTGAATCAGTGATTGCTGCTTATTTAAGAGGGATTAGGGAACTGTGAAAGCAAGAGACTGTAATGCTGTATGTAACTAGGACTTGTGCGAGAGATTTACTGACTTCAAAATGTCAATGAGAGCTTGCAGGAGAATTACTCTATTTCAGATACAAGAGCCTGTTGGCTTCAGGATACTAAATTTTGTTTTCACCTTTTTAGAACTCTGAACTTACCTTGGAACAGTTCCTCTCACTTTCATCATTCAGCTGATTATAAAAGAATTTATAGGAGCTGGAAAAGCTTTCATGTCTTCTCATATTTAAAAAGAGAGAGAGAGAATCATAACCAGGCTTGTTTAAAAACAATTGTAGAGTCCAGCCTGAAGAGTCCCTTTCCAAAGTTTTGCCACTGTATAATTTTCTTGGCAGCCTTTTCTGCTCTTTCTACCCCACCCCTACGTTTCCAGGCAAAACGCCTACTCTGTGTTTTGGCAGAGATCCACATCAACTGATTAAGTTAATGAATGGGCATTTCTACTGTATCTCTTACGGACTTGTTTTTTGCCTTTTTATACCTCATATATTGATGCTGATTTTTTTAAGCCAAAAGTCTCCTGCTTACTTTCAGCTTCTAAGCTGAGAGATTGAACAATGCTTAATTTAAGGTGAAGCATAGCTTTTTCAATTCTCAACTTTCCATGATGGATTTTTTAATATAGTATAGAAAGTAGACTTTCATCCTGTTCAGATTTCATATATCATCCTTCTGCCATTGTACAGGGTTAAAGATGACTTCACATTTTAAATCCTTTGCAAGCAATTGGTTGACTTTTTGCATTCTAAGGATGTTTTTCACCATGTCACCAGAGCTTTTACAGAATCTTCAAGAAATATTCTAGACATTTTATTTATTCTTTTCAGTCTTAATATTTCTTCAGGCTAATTCTTTCCCTTATGTTTTTGTTTTTCCTTTGATGGGTCTCATCATTGTCAGAGATACTCTAGTACAGAAAATCTTTATTATTGAGTACTGCTCTTAAACAAGATTTAGATTTCCTAGCAAAAATATGTGTACTAGTATGGAACTGGAAAGAAATGTGATGATATTAAGTCACAGAACAAAATAACCCAGCCAATTATCAAAATTGCCGTATTTTAATATTACATAACCAGATGAAAAATCAGAATCCTGAAGTGATGACATCTACTTTTTTCAACTAGAGGTTAATATCACAATGCCTGGGTAATTGGTAGATCATTAGTATTATTTGTCTGAAAAGTGAAAGTAAAAATTAGTTGGGACCTTTGGAACTGAGAGTCAAAATATTAATTTCCAGTTCTTTTCTGATTCAGCACAATAATTGTTTTGCTGTAATAGAACACTTATTGGTCATTTAGGAGGTAAGTCAAGGTGTAAGATGTCTCTTTGTGTAAATATTTTTTCCGGTGTTTTCTAATATTTGGTAAACATACCCCCAGCTCCATCAATGTTGTCTTCAGGAAATCTGTATAGATCCAAATAAAAATTATTGAAATGATCATACTAATAATAAATGCTGACTTGCTATCCGAGAGACATTATACAATTTATGATGCACAGAGGGTAAAAATAGGTCTAATTCTCCTTTGTATTGAAGTTACTTAATTAAGCCTTTTGTTTGAAATATGACAACAAAATACTACTATGAAACTAAAACACTTTTTTTGTTGTTGTAGCTACCTTATACACGTCTTGTATCTTGCTGGGAATATTTCTGAATAGTAGCATACCTATATTCTTTGAGCTTTTCGTGGAGACGGTCTACCCTGTTCCAGAAGGAATTACGTGTGGTGTTGTCACCTTTTTAAGTAACATGTTTATGGGAGTGCTTTTGTTTTTTCTCACATTTTACCATACAGGTAAGAAATATGAGTTACTTACTGAATGTAATTCTCTGTGAAGGCATTCTATAAGAGGTCTATTTTGGCGCCAGTGGGAGGAGGGTTTACATACAGAACTCACATTGATGTTTATTCTGTGCATAAATCTCTTGCACATCAGTGGGAGAAAAGACCTAATTGTTTGTCTTTATGTGCATGCTAATCAAATAATGAAATTCTTTAGTTCGAAAACAGATATTGAGACTTTGCGTAGAAGTCACTGCAGCAGGAAGCTATTGAGATAAACATGATGGCTGGATTTTTACAAAGAACTGGATAATGTTCTGGCCATTAATAACATTTGTAGCTATGCTAGTTAAAACAACAATAAAGCTAATCCAATCTCATGCTTCAGGGTATAAACTGCTTGCCAGTAGTGGGCAGAAAATATTTTCTCCTCCCTCCCTACAATGTCCATGAAACACATGCTGGGTACAGTACTGATGATGGGAGAGAGTTACCTCCACAAGATACTGAACATTGCTCTGAGTCATACTTCTGCATTAACTGATGTGTAGAGTCATCTAATATGCTAAGGCGGTCCTTTGTGTTGATATTTCCAACAAATTATTTGTAGAGCCTTTTCTTTTTTATCTCTTGTGTATTATTTATTTGCTCACATAATATGTTGTAATTTTGAGTGATGTTTCTTTGTAGATTATATTTGCATTTAGATACTGAGTTACTATGGTAACAATATGAGAACCTAGATAAGTTCAGAATAAAACCCTGCAACCTCTCTGATTCTTTTTAAAGTTATAAATTGCTATTTTTATATGTAGAAATCAGCTAAACAAGAAGAGTACTTTCAAGCAAAGTGTCAGTACTACGCTTTTTAAATATATAACCTTATATTAATTCTAAGTATTATTGTCATAATATCTCTTAATTAAAATCGTATGTTCCCAGCCAAGAGGACAGTAGTAAACATCACAGTAATCTTTTGAAATAAAGAATATTCCAGACTTTCAGATGCCTCAACATATAATTGAAAATTGTATGAAATGATTGAAAATGTATTCTAATTATTGTTTTGTAGATGCAAGATAATAGAAATCTAAGCTCTTATTTGTGACCTGAAAATTAAAAACCAGTTTAAATCAAATCTATTTTGAGAAAATTAGTGGATGTGAAGTTCATTAATACAAATATGATTTTTCCAATGGTCAGAAATGAGCTGGCAAAATGAAACAAACCAAACTTGAAATAATTTCAATGTACTTCTAAATGACTGAAAAAATTCAGTGTTATGAATTCATTTTCCATTAACTGTTAGGATAGAGTACAATATACTAAATCAGTATTTGATAGTAATACGTCAAAATATGGCAGTAGTATGTTGTAAAAATCAGTTTGACCATTATTTATAATACGTAAGCAAATTTTTCCATAAAGGATGTCAATAAATATATGTGAATGCAAACTTGAAAAAAGCATAAACCTATAGTCTTTTTTTCCAAAGAAAGAAGCAGAGAGTCACACTGTTTTCTTCAAGATAAGACATTCTCAATGATGCAGTGTCTTAAATTATTAAAAGCATGACCATTATATGATCTGTAAGCATTGATCAATGTTCATCTGGTGAAATTAGGACTAGGTTACCAAAAGAAAAATTCATTGAAGATGGAAAATGATTGTGTAATAAAAATACTTCCTTATAAAATCAGTCTTTTTTCCCCCTTCTTTTTCATACACCTTTTATGATCATTCAAATTAGGGTGTGTCTAGACTACAGGGTTTGTTTGGTTTTTTTCAAAAAAAGTAACACCTCCGCCCCAAACAACCTCCCTAGGCAATTTTCCAGTGCTTAACCACCCTGACAGGAAGTTTTTCCTAATGTCCGATCTAAACCTCCCTTACTGCAATTTAAACATGCTTTATAGCAAGAGACTCAACGAGCTCTATCCATTTAGTTTAAAAAAGAGAAGGTTAAGGTGACTTGATTAGTCTGAAAGTGCCTACATAAGGAACAAATATTTAATAATGGCCTCTTCAGTTTAGCAGAGAAATGCATAACATGATCCAATCGCTGGAAGCTAAAGCTACACAAATCCAGACCATGAATAAAGAGTAATTAACCATTGGAAAAGATTATCAAGAATCATAGTGTATTCTCCATCACTAACTGTTTTTAAATCAATATTGATTTTTCAAATGATGGCCCCTATAGAATTTCATTCAAGGTTATACACATGCACCCAGAGTCAGGTTTTCTGAATAGCATCTGTTGATCCACCCGTGCGCCTTTGCTGCATCTTGTGGTTTCAGCTGCAATAAAGGTTAACCAACCACACCCTCAGTTCTTTTTCACCACTGCATGGTCTGAGTTAGTCTCTTCTATTCTCTTGTCTCTTGTGATGCACTTTTCTAAAGATTATTTTATTCTTGTTGTTAGTGTTTTGTTAATTTTGTAGTAGTTTTAGCAGTAGTTTAGGACTTAAACTACTTTGGGATGCTGTTTTTGCCAGATTCCTCCCCTTTCTTCTGTCATTACCCACATATGGATACTGGATTATTCTGAAGATGCAGGGTTCAAGATCTGCACTTCCTGCCCTTGCTTGTTTTCCATTAGTGACTAGCACCAGCAGTGCCTTTGCTCCTTGGAGTGGCCAACGTTACATTCAAGTGCAGTATCTGCCTCTCCTTCCTAGCCCATACCCAGAAAGGCCATGCTTTTCACCTCAAGAAACACCTCACAGAGGTCACCATGAGACCACAGTCAGATCCAAGTTTGGGATCCCACCCCTCCATGTCATACATTGGCCTGAGCATGGAGAAGTGTGCCTCCTACCACAGCACTCCAGTCTGGTTCTGCTAGTATAGCACTGCAGATCCCATGCTGGGGTCTAGCCATGAGGTAAGGAAACTTGTTGCAGAGAACATGAGACTTTTCTCAAGACCCATGAAAGACATTATGTCCTCCCTAGGTTCTAGCCATGGAGAAGCGCTGTGTTCCAAGGCATGTAAATATGACAGGAAGTTGCATAGAACACTGGATCCTCAAGTCCTGCTTACCAAACTGTATACCCCTTCTGGATCAATACCCCCAAAGTCATGAGCATGTTGGGTTCTGAGGCAGTCCTCCATTCCAGCTCCCATTCTGGCTCTGACTTTGTGGAGTGTATGTCACTGGCACCAAGGAGGCTCAAGTCAGCTCCTTGTACTCATGAACTGTTTAACTTGGATGAGGTGAGGTCTCCATGTCACCTGTTACATTCATCTCATCAGAGACGCCCACTTCTCCTTCGAGTGGTCCCTGTGGGTGCTGCACTCTGGGTGCTGGTGCGTCCTCACGCTGGCGACCGGAGACTTTTCTAGCAGTTTCTGCCGTGGCGCGCAGGCGCCGTGACGTCCTCTAGTGTCGTTGGAATTGTTGGGCGCGGCGCGGCTCCTCAGTTCCTTCTCTACCATGCTTGGCAGCAGACGGAGCCGATTGTTCTCCTCATTTCTTTAAAAAAATAGTTAAATTCCCAGTTTTAACCCTCATTTTCCAAGTTTTTAGCCCTATTCTCCTTCCCTGTCAAGTTTAAAAAAAAAAAATTCCCGTTGCAGTTCGCCACTTTTCTCCAACCTCTCATGCCTGGCTCTCCGGGCTTTAAAAGATGCAAGTCATGTCGTGATGCCATGCCCACCTTGGATGGGCACTCTAAATATATTAAGTGCTAGGGGGAGGAGCACCAAACTCAAAAATGCCTCCACTGCTCCAAATTGACAGTGAGGGTGCACCGGGACACAGCCAACAGGCTAAGGACACTTTTATATGAAAAGTCCCTCCGTCCTTCCTCAGAGGACTCTCCCGCGACTTCAAGATCAGTGCAATTGAGTAAGGGTATGGAAAAGAATCAACCCTCTACCTACTCTGCTCCTACTACCTCTATATCAGGTCTTTCTCCAACTCCGTTGCTACCCTCAGCACCATCAGCCGTACAGGTCAGGACTGAGAATAGGCCGGGAACCTCCGGTACGGTGCACTCAAAAGCATCGGCACCTCACAAAAGAGCTCATTCAGAGCCAAAGCAGAGGTCAGCGGCACCGACTGGTGTGGCAGCAGAGCTGCCCCCAGCGCCGACGGCACCAGCGAAAGGTCGCTCAGCACCGAAGCACCACATCAAAACGGCACCAAGTCTGGCGCCGAAGAAGGCATGTGCCGACAGACCACCACCGAGTGCCACAGCGCCGGAACGATCCTTGGCACTGCCGCTCCCTGCACCGCCACCATCCAAACCGCATCATCCCGCACCAACCGAGCAACGTTCCCCGGTACGGAGCCACACATCATCGGCACCGCCTTCCTCGCGCTCCTCCATCCGTTCCGTGTGGTCTCGACACTCCTCCATCGCTTCTCGCTCGGCCAGTGACATTGGCACTGAGCCAAGGAGCAGGTTCTCCTCCCAGCACTTCAGCCCGGCACATAGACCTCCATCTTGGCAGCCAGCCCCGGTCCAATATGCATACCCTCCCCCTCCGCACCCTTGGTATGCACAACAATACGCCTACTCACCTCCACCATATGCCACCCAATGGCAACCATGGGAGCCACCACCAGGCCTCTTCGACTACTTGTAGGCCACCAGCCCCCTCAGAGGCACATGACTCTCTATCTGAAGGGGAGACCAGATCACCTCTCCATAACTCCTCCTCTTCCCCAGATGAAGAAGCGGTTACAACGGAAGCCCCACCATCCGGTGATGACGCTAAAAAATTCCAGGACTTGTTCAAGAGAGTGGCCCAACAATTCCAACGACATTAGAGGGTGCCCCACTACAGGGCGCCATGGCACCTGCGCGGCGCAGCAGAAACTGCTAGAAAAGTCGCCGGCGTGAGGACGCATCAGCACCCACGGGGACACATCTCGGAGAAGCACCGTTACTGCACAAGGTGAGTAACTCTTTCTTCCCAGCTTTGGACCTGTTGCCTTCAGGTCATGTTCCTGAGCATTCTTTTGAGACTTATGTGATTCTGACTGACATAAATAGGGCAGCCATGTGGAATTCAGTATATATCTTTTCTTCCCATTATACCTTAGCACATGACTCTGCAATCGATGCCTCCATCAGTGCAGCTGCTCTCTGTTCCATGTTGCCGTCTTCCTTGCACTCTCCTAAGTTCTACACATCAGTCATCCTCAATGGAATACAATAGGGACCATCACTCGAAGAAAAAGAGGACTTCCATCTACCTGTTCTTTGAAATATGTTCTCCCTATCTTTATTTCAGTCCCACTCTTCTTCCCCTCTGCTGTGGATCTGTTTAGTTTGCAGTGGAAAAAGAACTGAGGGCATGATTAGTCCACCCCACACTTAATCACCTTGGTCAAATCCATGACACATAGCAAGGGCACAGGCATAGACCAATGGACACTTTTAAAAATACTCCATCTCTGGATACATGGCACATGCATTTAACTCTTAGCAGAGTACAGATAGGAACCACACATCTTAAAACTTCCTGGTATGGGTAAGTAACCTTTTCATATTTTTCTGTAAATTCTGCTTTAGGAATTATTTTGGGGAAGTGTTGTGGCCTATGTTATACCCAACGTCCAACTAGATGATCATTAATGGTGCCTTTTGTCCTTTGAATCTATGAAAGGTGAATAAGTAAATAAATTAATGGTATTGAGGGTTTTTAAAAAATTCTTAATGTCTCACAAATACTTTCTGTCTCTTAATCCTATGCATTGTTATTGTTTTGCTGTTAGAGCAGAGTGAGCTTAAAGCCATCAGTTAAATTTCTAGTTTTGAGTGTTTACGTCCAGATTACTTTGTGACAGTAGAAATGTTATATGAACTTCTGAAACTGCATTTTTTGTTTGTTTTACAGAGTTGTCCTGGTTCAACTGGTGCCTCCCAGGATCATGTTTGCTCAGCCTACTCCTTATTCTTTGTTTCAGAGAATCCTATGATAGACTTTATCTTGATGTCGTAGTCTCAGTTTAATAGTACAGAACTGACAGTTTAGAGAGAGACTGAAAATCGATACTGCATTCTACACATTGCCTGGAATTGCACACTTGTTTGACAGAAAAAGCAAAGAAGCTGCAACATTTTAAATGTGGTTTGACCAACTACAAAGATATTTTTTTTAAATACCTCTTGACTTGATTTTTATTACAGACTTGATAAATGTGTGGGATTTCAGTTGGGAATAATAATATCCTAAAATACACAAGTGAAATGTATCTGATGTGTATATTCTAAAGTCAGAACTGTGATGTCTTATTTAAAAAACAATACTTGTAACTGTAAAGTGTATAGATTTTCTATGCCAACTCAAACCACTTAAAGATTGCATGAGGTACTCATAGGATGCCGAGGTACCAGTAATCTTTCCATCTTCTGTTAGAATACAAATAGTGAATAACATTTTAAAAAAATCTATATTAGCCAAATAGGTATCACATTTAAATATTAAAAGGCCAGTATACATCCAAGCTAAAATAATGTGGATTTTTGCATTATATTAGCCTTTAATAAAGCCATTTGTGTTAAGACTTCGATACTTGGGTTTTCAACCGACTAATCTTAACAGTCCTTGTACTGTTGTTGGAAATCATTTAACATTCACTCCAGAATAAGTGTGCACTGAATGATAAGTGCAGTTTTAGTCATACAGTACTTGCCACTAAAAATCACTTTAGCTGACAGTGCCATCTGAAATTCTGCGGTTTTCCCATATGCTTAGAATAGGAAAGAACTGTGGTATCACGGATGTCTCTGTTGATGCTGTAGTGGCCACCATAATACTTCTCATTCATCTCCAATTAATGCTGTGAAATCCAATTTAATGTTACTAAATAATGTGGGTGTATAGGGCCAAATCCCCTGTAGATTTAGCTTTAGTTAAAGGTTTCAGGGTTTGGTCTATAGTGAATGTATGTTTTTAAGATTAGTTTACGATTATGGGTACCTAAGTAATGCTTTTTAAATACACAGTTCTTTAAATGTGGCACTTTATAGAAATGTCTTTGTGCTATGTGAGGTGCTCTTGTTAGCATTAAAATAATAAATCATATGGAATATTTTTGTTTCATGAGTCCATGAATTTTGGCATAACCTCAAAAGTACAGTGCAAAGCAGTAAATTTTGGTCAGTCTGGCCCTCACTGGAACAAAGGTATTTTAGACATTTTGAGTAGTTTTTAACTCAATTTTAAACTGTTTAGTAACTTTTCAATTATATTCTTTTAATTTGGTTCAGATACATTTATGGCATTTCCATTCTGAGTGTGTTCCTGTACTTCGCGGTGTGTGTGTGTGTGCGCGCGCGCATATATATATATATATATATATATATATATATATATATATATATATATATATATATATATATATATATATATATATGTATATGTGTGTGTAATATTTATATGTTGTATATAATTATATAATATATTAATATTGTATGTAGAGTATGTTTATAGGTTTATTTAAATCATGTCTTTTGAGTGGTTGTATGCCACTGTTTGTAACTAAAATTATTTTAGTGAATTAAGTTGCACACGTTTACTAACCATGACATTGATTTTATTTCACTGGGTGAATGTCTTTTCTTAATGTAGCTATTTGATATAGAGGGATATATACATGTTTGAGAGTATTGGCATGTAATGTTCTGTGTCAGTGAGAACTCTGAATCAAACTCACACCACTCCTGTGAGGGGTTGATTAATACAGCCACTATAACTCAAAAATAAAATAAAAGCTGAATTGTGCACTATCCTTCAGCTATGTATGCATTCATTCGGTCTGCTCTCTGTAGAGAGCAAATATTTCATTGACGCTTTAAATTTAAAATTGTATTCATGTACTAAAATGAAATAAGATATCACACATCGTCTACTTTTATTGTTTTCAATGAAATGGGCATATTTACCATAGCAGATAATGGGATGTTGTGACTTCGTTTATTGGCTACATGAGTTATTACAAGATCAGTGTTATTCCTTGAAAGGCACTAGTCAGACAATGAAGCTACCTGTATTGAGATACCCAAAATAAATCTAAAGAACATGTTCAAGCTGCTGAAGAAAACTGGCAAAATGTAGTTGGTCGTATCCTTTTACTGTCTTCATTATTTGATTGGTACAAAGGTTATTAACCCTTCAACTATCTTGGTTAAGTTCTACTAAATTTAACTAAAGCCACTTACCTACCAGACCTTACTCAATCAGCATTCCCCTGTTGATCCTGATGAAGCTTTTGCCTGAGGAAGAACTACAAGAGCAAATCCCAATTATGTAAAGGAGTTCACCCATAGGTAGGAGTCTGCTGCAATGATAAGTAGAAAATAATTTTCAGACTTAAGGACTTTATCAGATCAACATATTTTTGAATGGTGGAGGAGAATGTGTTGGAGGACAGAGGATGAGGAAAATATAAAATAGTGTGGGTTTGTTAGCGTACACGTTGAGATTATCTTTTAAATAGCTCACATCTTCATTTAACTTCACAAAAAAATATTCTTCCCCAAAGAATCCAAGCCAGCAATCCTTAGGTAGAAATCTAGCCAATGAGAGTTTTGCCTGTAACAATTACCAGATCAGGCTAGCTGTTAGTATTTTTGACTTTGTAAAAGTCATCTTGGTTAATTGTGTTTTACTGAAAGAGACTGCATATTGCATTGGGAGGGTTTAAAGTATTGCTTATATATTAATAGTAAGTAGTTCCAGAAAAGATTTAGAAATTAAATATAATATGTTTCTAATTGATTACTGAATAGCAGAAAAGCACATCTGTTTTTAGAAGTGCAATTTAATTTTAATTGTCCCTATGTAATTTTCAGTGAGTATGGACATGATTGAAATAAACAATTTTTGACCATAACCATAATGGATTTTAACAGGAAAATACACGACAATATTCCCTTTCTTCTCTTGGCTCTTGAGTTAGTTCCTGTAGAAATCTAGAAGAGCCATTTTCCCTAGCCCTATCTGCAAAGCTACTAGAATATGGGCAAGTATGCTGCATTTTTGTGTTGAAAATGAGAGCAATGAGGCTGTGCAGTTCCTATTTCTCTCTTGTAATAGATCTTTGTTTTAAATGGCTGGGTATATTCTAGGCTGCTCCTCTGTTTTTCACTTGGTTCTATAGTAACTGTAAATTCAACTTCCAACTATGCTTCTTTTTTCTTTTGGCTCACTTGTGAGCTGAGCTATTTCTCTTGCTGCTAATGAGGCAGATAAGATTTAGAAGGAATGGGCTTTGCCTCTATCCCTATTTTCTATCTCTCTTCAGTCTCTTCCCTCTCATTTTACTTCTCCTTCTTGTATGGACTTTTTGCTCTTAAATGTGTGACCATACAAGTACCATGGAAGCAAAACTTTCTGAATTCCCAGTTTAATTCTAGAGAGGAGAGTTGGGCAATCACCTGTGCAATAGTCAAAAAAAATGTCAGTGTTAAATGATCACTCAACATAAAATGCAGAATCCAAGGACCTCAGGTACTGTATTATACTGAACTGTAGGGGTTCTCAACATTTTTCATGCTGAGCCATCCCCAACATCCTATAAAAGCTCCACTGCCCCCTTATGCCACAACTGTTTTTCTGTATATAAAAGCCAGGACCAGAGTTAGGAGGTACTAACCAGGACAACTTCCTGGGGCCCCAAGCCACAGGAGGCCCCATATAGCTAAGTTACTTCAGCTTCAGCCTTGTGGCAGGGCTCAGAACCCTTGGCTTCAGCCCCAACTTTCTGTCCTGTGCTCCAGCAAGTCTGCCACTGGCCCTGCCTGGCAGACCCCCGAAACCTGTTCACAGCCTTCCCACCTTCCAGTGTGCCTCGGACTCCTGGTTGAGAACCAATGCTATGCAAAATATAGAGCCTATACAGGTTGTGTGTGTGTGAAGAAATAAATCTGGTGGACTATTTAATGTGTACAGCTATATGCTACAGCTGAGATTTTCAAAATGACCTTTTGGAAATGGGCTGGAGATATTGTCTGTCTCTGTAGGACACTTGAAAATCGAAGTACCAGATTATATTTGTCAAATACAATTAAAAGTTGGTTTCTTGTTTTTGAGAGCGGTACCTGAGTGTAGAACCATGTTAATAATCATGATTTAATTTGTGACTAGATTCCAAAAAGTGGTTCCACTAGCAGCTCTCATCAAACCCAGTGAGGAATGCATTCAGTATGTGACCTGCTGATTTTCAGCACTTCTTAGAACCAGACTCCTACAGATTTCTCAGATACACTGTCTTCTGTGCTGTAGAGACATGAATAAATTACAAAGCAGCTTTGAAATAATTGGCATTATTTTGTTGTAACTATGTTGGAAAACACTAGTCACTACATGGTAACTTTTATTAGCAGCATCATGTTTCTATCCTAGAAACTTGGAAATTTGCCACATGCCACTATTGCATGTAAGAAAGTGACTATTGCTGTCTGGGATATTTTGAAGGAGCTCTAATACTTGAAGTGTGTGTTTTAGAAAACATTTGAATTAAAGAGTGAATACATAGTCTTACATTGTAAAAAGGGGTAAACATGAGATTGCAGGAAATACTGTGTAGCAAGACTTTGGCAGATATTGGTCCAGAAGGGATGGTGAACAGATGCAATGGCCAAGGATGGATTTGAAGTGTTCTCACCACAGTTGTCCCCTCAATCACAAGGGGCAGATGCAACCAGACCTTCTCAGAGCACAAATGGCCCCAGGGGCTTCTTATCTATGGATGTCCCCACTTGTGGCATACCCCCCACAGTGGCAAATGTGGAACCATCCTCCACATCAGCGCACAGAGAGATTATGCAAGACTGAACACATAGAGAAGCCTCTCTCACGCTCCACTGAATCTCCTCAGAGACACAAGGAGTGATAATGACAGCCAATACTCCCCCAGGTCAGCCACAGGTTCTTTGGCTCACATATCATCACTAGTGGATATAGGAGAAGCAATGTTACCTCCCTCCGGTAATACTTCAGAGGACGTCTCCTCTTTTCAGGATGCGCAGATCGCCCAAACCCGGCTCTTCCAGGTTACAATCTATTCGTGGCAAGTAGATTGTATTATTTGTTGAGCCCAGCTTACAGTTCAGTTAATTCTCTAAAATTGCTCTCCCTATCAACTCAGCCATTCTCCAACTGCAAAAACCTTATGGCAAACACCTGCCTCGATTTCCCCCTACTAGCAGGAAGGTGGACCGGAAGTATTTTCTGCCACCCAAAGGATCTTTTTCGTCACACGTTTCCCCCCACTTCCCAATTCTCTTGTGGATGCTGCACAGCAGAGAAACAAGCAAAAAAATTGCTCAACCCCATCTGGTAAGGAGAACAAAAGACTAGATGCATTTGGCAAAAGAGTATGCACTTTAGCCACAATCCAGCTGAGGGTAACAAACTATTCAGCCCTACTTAGTAAATACGACTACAACAATAATACGAAAATGAACACATTTATTGATCATCTGCCAGAGAGCAAAAAAGTACATTTTAAGGCCATTGTCTCTGAAGGACAGGCAATTTCACGTATAGCGCTACAAGCGGCGCTTGACACAGCAGACACAGCCACAAGATCGATGGCTACAGCTGTTACTATGCAACAGGCCTCTTGGTACAACTGCAACTTCCCGAGACAGCTATAACTCGGCCTTCCTGAGACAACTGTGGAAGATCTGCCTTTTGAGGGGGAGAACCTTTTCTCCTCAAAGACCAATGAGCTTCTTCAATCCTTGAAGGACTCCAGAGCCATTCTTCGATCCTAGGATATTAAGGCCCCTACAAAGAGCACAAGACAATACAGACATCAACTGTACCACAGACCAAGGTACCAACAGGCCCCTTTCCAGTACCATAGGCAGGAACAACTCCTTTACCAACAGCGGGGTCGAAACAGACAACAGAGATGACGGTCTCAGACCAACACCCCCAATCGCTGGTGCAATCCAATAAGCAAATTTGAAAATACAGTCGAGAGATCACTACTTGCCACAGTGCCATCTCCAGAATGTCAAAATCCTTCCAATCTCGTTCAGTTTAGTTTACTCCCCTTCTGTCACCCATGGGAATTAATTATCTCCGATAAATGGATACTTCAGACTATCTCCCAGGGGTACACCATCCCCTTTCTTTCCCTCCCCCACTCCCACCCTCCTATCCCGTCCCTCTTTAGAGACCCATCTCATGAGATCATCTTACAACAAGAGATAGATCACCTGTTACACATAGGAGCCATAGAATCTGTTCCACCACAATTCCACAGAACAGGTTTCTATTCCCATTATTTTCTAATAGAAAAGAAGACTGGCAGGTGGAGA